CTGGACCTGCTGAGGCTTGATCTGGCTCCGATTCTTTCACGTTCCGCGATCTTGCTGTCGTCGCATGCACAGCCGCAGGGTGTTGATTGGGCAGGAAGGCATACTGCAAACTCCTAGTTTAAGTGCATGCCTTGGACGCCGGCATGCGAGCGGGTTTGCCCTGTTCAAGGTGTAGCTACATGCCTCCCTGCCGGAGAGCCACAGGGCTGAAACAGCGCAGCAGGTTTGATTGAGCCGAGCTGTGGGCGTATAGGATGAGACGAGATGCGAGCGGAGCCACCACAGGTCACTTTCTCGAAGCGACCGGGGCCACGTCTTGTCGACGGCTGAGGGAGGACACTCGGACACCCACGCAATGATGAGACGAGTTCTTGCACAGGTCGGACGGTGCTGTCTGTGGCAAAAGTCCGTTGCTTCAATTCATCCGAAGAACTTGTCAAATGCTGCAAGACCCGACGGTGACAGTTCAGAATGCGCGCAGGCTTGTACTGCTGAGGAAAATTGCTGGACAAGGTTCTATGCTCTGCAGAGACGGGGGCAGCAGGTGCGCTAGTCTACCACCTCACAACGCGCACATGCCTGTCGGGGCACAGTTGCCAACAAGGTGATACAAGATGCACGAAGTATGTTGCGATCTGTGGGGGCCTGCCACAGGAACCTGAAACCGCAAATACCTCGGAGCAGTTGCTGCCAAGCTGGCGTGACGGATCTCGCATGCGCCACTGAAGGCCCAGGGCAAGCAAGCGGCCCCGGATGTGAATCTCAAGGTCATGGCACACTGACGCATCTCGCAGTTTGATGTTGGCTCGGCAGGCACCCCTTCCGGAAGTGTCTATGCACCCTCTTCATTAAGCTAGAACGACGAGGACCAAGACCGAAGAGTGATCTTAACATTTGAAAACCTGTGCATCCACAAGCCTCTGGGAAACTTTCTGTTGCTTGCGGCTTTGTCTGCACCACGACACTAGGAAGGTGCATACGAGGCCAGCTGCAAAAAGCGTGGCCAGTGACGTCTGGGTCGAGGCGATTCATCGAAGCCCCTGAGCCAAACGCCTGCAGCCTGAGTACCTTCAGAAGCTGCTCAGGCGAGAACGGCGCAGGCGCAGGCGGCGGATTCGCGTTCCTCCTCGGCCTTTCTGCACGAAGCTCAGGTGTGGCAGGGAAGGGTCACGCTGCTTCTCAGTTGTGTGTTGGTTTCGATGCGGTGCATCGGTGAAAACCCAAAGCCGGGGCTGCATCCGAAAATGCTTTGCACGCCGCACTGCCTCTCTAGCACATCCGTGAGCAGTAGACCAAGCCTGTTCTCTCTGAAGCCTAACGACTGGCTGCCAGCCGCTGCACAAGCGGCAAGCTTGCACGACTCATCTGTGAAGAGCAAACTGCTGTCCGAGACCTCAGGTGCGTCGGGGGTAGAGAAGAAGGATACTTTAAAACGCCAGTATTCCGACCCCCTTAGCACAGCACCTGGGAAGCACTTGGGACTCCCAGTTTGGCTTCTGGATGCCCTAAAATGTAATACTAAGCCATCGTCGCGCATTTGGACGAAGAGTCCGGTCCTACCCCCAAGCTCCCGCCTGCTGTCCAGACATCATGCCCGGACCCCTGACATAACAATGCCCTCTTCACGTCTTCCTGTACACCTTGCCGCCACAAACCACGGACTTGAGAAACCCCCCACCACCAGGAGCCCGCCCTGCACTTGCCCGCTCGCTTCAATCAAACCCGGCCGCCCTGAGCCGCCTTGAAAAACGAGCTCGGGGAAGCGGAGTCGGCACTGACGAGGCAAAGATCCACAAGGACGACCTCCCTGTTTTCCCACACCGTAACATTGAGGAAAAGATCTGGATGCACATGTTCAGGTACATGTGTAGACTTGTTTAGGCCTCGAAACCTGTGCAAGTTGCACGTTGGCCCAATGGCTTGCGCGATAACTGAACACCTGGCTGTAACAGTGTCATTATATGGAAACGTCCTCTGATTCTGGATCCGGAGCCACTACAATGGCGCCAACCCCCTGCCGAGCTTGGATGCAACCCTACTTGCCCGATCTGCAATGCCCTGCACGACCGGCCTGCACTTCCGAACAGCGACATGGACTTCAACTCCAAAAGCCGCCAAGTCGCTGCCTCCACCCAAATGAGCCAAAGAGAGTCATCGGCCTCGCGCAGAGGGTGAGCTTTTCGGTGCACTTGCTTGCTAGCACAAGTGGATTCGGGCTGCTTCCCCGTTATAGCATTCGAATTCCTGCTTTGAGCAAAGGGGTTGCCTTCCCTACCGGCCTACGTGGTTGAGGACACCACAACTTGGAAAATTGCGGTTTGGAGTGACAGTTTGCGAGCAAAGGGGTGACGGTTCTAAGATCAACTTTGAAACAAACTACGGCGTCTGTTTTTAAATACACGGATATTTAAATAGGTTAAACAGGTATATTACACTACCTCCGTGAAACATCGCCCGGGCCCGCCTCGAAATAAAATATCCGGAGATTGGCAGATGATTGGTGGGTTTGAGGTTTAGGATTTTAATGTTTAGGGTTTAAGAGTTTAGGGTTCAGGTAGAAGCCAAACCTTTCAGCTTTAGGTTCAAGCCAAACCGAGCCAGCCCTCCAGCCTTGCTCAAGCCTTCCAGCCTTCATCCAGCCCCAAGCCCCAGCCCTCCAACCCCCAGCCCTCCAGCCTTCCAGTTTTCAAGCCTTCCTTTAGCCCAGCCCTCCAGAAACCTGAACCTCCAATCTCTAAATCTCTACGTGCCCCAGAACTCTAACCCTTTTAAACCGCGCCCGCAACCATTGGAGCGTTGGAAGCCTGGAAGGCTGGAAGGCTGGAGGGCTGGAGGGCTGGAGGGCTGGAAGGCTGGAAGGCTGGAAGGCTGGAAGGCTGGAGCTGGGCTGGGGCTGAAGGCTGGAAGGCTGGAAGGCTGGAGCTGGGCTGGGGCTGAAGGCTGGAAGGCTGGAAGGCTGGAGGGCTGGAGGGCTGGAGGAAGGCTGGAAGGCTGGAGGAAAGGTAGGAAGGCTGCAAGGCGGGAGGGTGGGCTGGAGCCCTCCAGCCCTTGCAGTCTCCAGCCTTCAACTCCTCAAGCCCTAAACCCCTTCCAGCCTTCAACCCTCCAGCATTCCACACCTCTTTAAGACTGAAGGCTAGATCACGTCATACTGGGATTTAAATATACGGATTGAAACAAATATTTTATACTACCTCTGCGGCCAGTGCGGCTGGCCGGGCCCCCCATATATTTAAAAAAAGTCACCGTAGGGAGTTAGGTCAGGCTCGGCAGGCTCGGGACTGCTTGCCATCTCGCAGCATGAAAAAGGAAAGCTTCGGGCCCCGATGTTGCTAGGCTTCACGGCTATTTCAACTCCAACAACCCAAAGCCCTACTCTGAGCCCCTAAACTAAACTCCAAAACCAGATCCTAAACGGCTGCTTCCACCTGCAAGGCGCCTGGAGGTGCGGCTCCCAAGACTCGCCCGAGGCCCAAAATCTACAGCTGGAAATGACGCAGTGCCGGCGGTTGGCTACAAGTGGCTTGGGGTCGCAGGGTTTGGGGTTTAAGCTTCAGGGTGTAGGGTTCAAAGGTTTCGTGTTTGAAGCTAAGCGCACAGATTCAAGGTAATGTTCGATCATTCTTTCCACGGCGAAAATCTGCACGCCCTTCAGCGCAAAACACCGTCTCCGAAGAACATCTGAGCACTTTAGGTTGAGGAAATTCGGAACTGATACTCCTTTAATATTCTCAACAACTTAAATATAACCTTGGAAAGTACAGGAACTCTGCCACCAAGAACGGCCTGAAGATCCGCAGGAATGAATGTTCGCAGTTCTGCGGCAAGATGTGGCTGTTACATTCTGATGTTGAAAAGAACACTTACATCAACAAGATATTGACGGCTTGCGCTCCGAAAGAAGCGTCTCGTTTTCACGGCCGCCGCTGTCCGCAAGTAGCGTCCGAAGCTAGAGCCGAAATGCTGGTATCATCTACAGGAACCCGGTCGGAATCGGGTGAAGAAGAGCTTTACTTTCTTAGCCGCTCCGCTGATCGGGAAGGGCGGGAGGCATAGAAAAAACTGCGTCGTTGGCCAGAAAAATGAGCGGACACGTTGCGGTTTGCCTGCCGCAAAAAGCGTCTCGTTGTCACGGCCGACGGTAAGTGCCCGCGAAGCTCAAAAAGGCTGCATTTCCACCGTGACGATGCAACTGGATAGTCCCTGCAACTTGGTCACGGTCAGACCCACGAACAAACACTGAACTGAAAGTAAAGAAACTTGACGGGCCAAAAACTGCAAATCACCACACAAACTTGATCAGAAAACGAACGATAGCATCTTGTCTGTCTTTTACAAATTTCCAAATGGAAAAGCAGCACGCTTTGCAGCTCAGCGACGATGAACGACGCACGGCCGTGGGTACCAGGAAACGAGGTGAAAACCAAGTCGGTTCCGCAGTCACCGTTCAATGCTTGCACAACGACGCTCTGCAAAGCGCAAACGTTGTTGACACTCCAGCGCCCAAATGGCAGCCAGGGAACTCTCCGTTATGCCGTATCAGGTAAAACGCGCGGGGCTGCATCCGGCGACCCTTCGGCGAAGGAGGCTTCGAAGCCTTCGAAGCCGAAGGGTCGAAGGGGGGGGAGGGCAGCAGAGCGGCTAACCTGAAGAGCGCCGCGTAGAGCGGCGCCGGCGGACCCTCGTCCATCAGCTGCAAAGGGAACCTCAAGACGACAGCTCAGAAGCTCGGCATATCTCGGCATGTCTCTGCAGCTCGCGTCGTCACGTGACATCGCAGGGTCCCGGGCAGAGCTGCAGCCCGTAGCTCCGCGGCAGATGCACGAAGCGATGGCACATGATGGCACCGAGAGCACTGCTCCTGGCATCACGACACAGCCATGAAGATCATGTAGCAAGTTGTTCGACGAGCTGCTGACATTCCAAGAGGACAGAAAGCAATGAAAAGAAACGGATGCCAGCCTTGGCTGTCGTCGAGCTCGCCCTGATTCTGCTCGGAGCTAGCCTGCTCCAAAGTCCACTGGCAGGGTCACTATGCCGCTAATTACGCCTCAAAGAAACTTCATCCGTCCGAAGCGCCTCCGCTCCTGCCCTGCTCGCCCGTCGCGCACACGCAGGCAGAGATAGGCAGAGCAGACTGCAAGGCGGGAAGTGGCGGCCGCACGCGGCTGGGGGCCGAGGTTGAGTGCGTGACCTGGCAAGACTTCTGCAAGGCCGCAAGGATTTCTCGACCCCCTAGAGGGATCTAGAGGGGAACATTTCTGACCGCTGGGAGCGCTCACCTCCGGTTGCCAAGATGCGTCCCCGGAGTCCAGGAACTCCTGGATCGCTCTGCGAGCCAGTTGCAGAGGGAAATGGCACTCTGAAACGATTGCCTCGTCAGGGCCGCAGGGGATCAAACAATTCGCCACAGATCGGCACCTCAGATGCTGAATCCCTGGCAAGACTCGCGCTCGCAAATGACTCTTGAGCTCGGCTGCCCACGAGCATTTCGAGTTCGTTCCATTGGAGATGCTGAGCACCACGCATGGGGCAAGGAAACTCCCCACCGGCCGCATCGACGAAGAAGAAAAACGATCGACCTGCCTGTGCCATCGTGAAGGCTTACGGAAGTGGACTGCCAGCAACACCAGGCTGGTGCTGAGTCCCAGCACATATCGTGCGGCACAGTGCGAACGGGGGCGCCTGGGTTCTGACATCCTCTGCATGCGCCACTCCACAGCTCACCTGGGAGCATCCGGCGCACATCGAGAGAAGTTCTGCAAGACTGCTGGGCTGGTGCGGATGCACTGGCAGCAGTCTTGCCTTTTTCGGTGCTGGTGCTCGTTCATCGAAGCAAGAGGCACGCAAGCACGACAGATGTACATCCAACATCTCCAAAAGCTTCTGGGAGGATGATGGCGGCATTGATTGCAATAGTTTTGAAACGTCGCTGCCTGCTCCTGCGCCCGCCCGGCCAGTTGAACAATGAGGGGTCCATTGGCGAAAGGCGGGACCCTGCTGGCAGCATCCGAAAGGGGCGCGTTGACCCAAAAAAAAAGGGTGGCACGACCTGCAAATTACCGTATGCTGCACACGGGGGGGGCCTCTTCGGTGTTGCAAGGCCCAAGACTTGGGAATCACAGAGTGAAGGAGATGGAGGCTACAAAAGAAGCTAGGTCGCGCCGCGTCTACCAGATCTCTTCGACCCTACATCACAAAACTCATGTATTGCACTCATGAGGGGCAACTATGGGCAACTCACCTCGCGCTTGCAGTGCCGGACATCGGGGGCCAGGTCAGTTTGGAAGATTGGGTCGGAAGAGGTACTAGGAGGAAGTCCTCCCTTGCACGAGAAGAGTGGCCAGAAACTGCACCGCTCGTGTGCCCTGTTTCACACACGAGCAGACGAATTAAAGGCAAGCTCAGCAGCTGTGTAGCTGAACTTAATGTTGAGCGGGCGGCCTTTGGCCCACTTCCGTATCTCACCAGATCAGGCTGCATAAATGGAAGCCGTGTATGCGTTGCACCACTCCGGATGGATCATGCAGAACGCGGGCTGCAAATGAGACACCCCGATGTGCAGCATCTCCAAGTTTGACACGACCGCATTCAGTCTATGCAAGGCATCTCGGAGATGTGTCTCCCAATACCAGCCGGGAGGAGTACCATTCTTCATTTCCTCCACCTGCAAGCCTTTGGGATTGCTCCACAGCCGTTCAGCAAACGCGACCGCACGGGGAAAGATCAAGCTCATGGCATTGCCCATGCCTCCTATCTCAGACCACAGCGCCATCTCACCGCCCAGGAAAGCCTTTTGACAGGCAGGGGTGTGGATTGGCCCATATCCTTGCGTAAGATTCAGTGAGTACATCGCTGCCCATGATGCACGAGGACACCAATAATTCGGCGACATCGATGCCCAGTTCGCGCCAGAACCGCAGTCCATGTACAGCCAACCATATGTCGAGTCGCCTTCCGGATATGTGGCGGCACTTTGTATCAGGTCATACTTCAAGCAGTCTTGTTCAGACAAGATGGGCCGGCCGGAGGCATCTGTTGGGAATTCCCACAACTGCAGTGCCGACTTGCTCTTCAGACGTGTACATGGCACTTGAACGCCACAATCCGCAACGGCTCCTGACCAGATGGCCCTTGGAATTTTGGCGGGAAAAGGGTCCACTGAGTCGAAGTAGTCCTGGACCTTTGCGTTCAACACCTCTGGGAACCAGTACGTCTGATTTGCATCCATTGGTTTCACCGGCACGGGCTCACAACCCTTTGTCCAGGGGACTTGGCACTGATCCAGGCACTTCTTCTTTGCAGGCTCTGGGAGCAGTGTGCAAAGGGATGCAGCCACAGGTTCGTCTCCTCCAATATGCAAGAAAGGCGCAGTCGAGAAATCCTCTTCTACCTGCTGCAATGCTTGCCGCACGAAATCCAGTGCTTGAGCATCGGAGATGTTCCAAGTTCCTGGTGGCGGTTCAACTGCAAACTGTTGCGTAGAGTACTCTACCGTTGCAGCCACTGTTAAGTGGAGGGGATCACCTGAAGCCAGTGCAGGTGCATGCATTGGCCCGTCAATCTCCGGCATGATCGACACACCTCGAACACGTGCGAATTCGACGAGTTCACGGATATCACGTCGCGAGTATGTCAATGGCTTCCCGTTGATGTCACGGTAAGCAAGGTGTTGTGCAACCTCCGGGTAACCATCCACTTCGAGCGGCCAAGAAGCTGTGTCGGTAAGATGCAAGTGCAGCACATTCAGCTTGAACTCTGCAAGCGCACTGACCAGTCCTTTGATCCAAGGAAGAGAATACCACTGCCGTGAGACGTCCAACAGGAAGCCACGGTGTACGTATGCCGGTCGATCTAGGATTTTATGTGGGCAACCCGGTACGCTGATACGAACACCAAAGTCCGATACTTCGATTTTAAGGAGTTGGTAAAAAGTCGCCAGGGCATTGGCAAGCCCCCATGAAGTTTCAACTTCGATCGCTATGCTTTCACCTGAGACATAGAGGCCATAACTCCCATTCCTCTCACGTATGGGCTGCCACGACTCCCGGCCCTTCCAACCTTCGATCGGGTGCTCAAGGCTCACTTTGAAGTTTTCCGGAAGCTCCATCGATGTTTCAACCAACTCCTCTTCTTGCTGGTCATCAGATTCCATCGGTAAGGGCAAGCGCGACAGGAACTGGGCTTCATAGATGCGTAGGACCTCCGGATCTGGACCTGTGAACATGTCTTTTATGATGCGCAGCAAACGGGGTGTAATGAGAAGCTCTCCATCTCCGCTGGAATGCACCATCGGCTTCGGGATGAGGACCTGGTGCTTTCCCGTCATCTTTGATCCCCTCCGATCGTTCACATCAGTCTCCAAGTGCTCTTTGCTTTCCTTCGAACTGCCCTGTTTATCAATTTGAAGGAAGGCGCAGTCGTCTGTGGCAACTCCACAAGCCACTGACAAAACCGCCAAGGCACTCAACACGCGATGCATGGCAAGGGAGAGCAGGCTGGAACAACGGGAGGGCATAGACGACAGTGACAAGAACAAGTCTCTGGGCCAGCGTCGGCAATGCGCAAAGTGCACTGGCTTGCGGGTCTCATTCAGCATTGTACGTTTACAATCTGAATCTGTCATGTGTCCCTGCATCATGCAGCGGCGTTTAGGATTGAAGATTTTGAAGATTGAACATAACTAGCACCAGATCCTAAAACCCTGAATCCGGACAGCCGTCTGACCAGCCACCTTGCACAATTAACTGCTGACGCTCGAGGACGAACTATACCATATATCCCAGTTAAACCCCGAAGGCATCTGAAGCGCAAGGCAGAGAAGTCTGTGTGGCGATGATGAGCCCTACGGATTGCTGCAACCTAGGACTCAATCGGGAGAAAACGAGGGAAATTGGTTCAGGGGTTCAAGTCCAAGTGTAGGCCCGTTTAGGGTCTAGGGATTGAAAAGCTGAAGGGAAGGAGGCTTGGGGTTTAGCAGGTCCAAGGGTTCAGGAGGGCCAGCAAGCCTGCACAACGAATGGGAAGCCTGCCTTCATCCTTTCTGCATTCTCGTCACCAATCCAAGAATCCAACGGCATTCACATCATAACAGCGTCCTGCCACTACAACATCGCTACGCTCCAGTTACTAGTTAATGTGCACGACGCTCGTCGGGTAGCGAATGGATTGGATTCAGGGTTAAGCGCGTCCTTACAGCGTGTGTATCAGGATCGAGAATGACCGAGACGGAGGATGCTCAGTTCGAAAACTGCCAGAGAGTCTTGTGCAAACTCAGAGGCGGGATTTGTTGCCAAGGCCCTGGGAAAAGATTTTTTGCAGCTGCCGGTCGAACTGCGCCGCAGGCTCGTGTGGAACTGAGGCTGCGGGTTCAGGGAATGCAAACATCCAGCTGCGTGGCCTGAACCTCACCTGCGTTTTCTCAGCTGACAGTGACACGATGCCCACAGTATCGAGTAACTTCAATCCATATCCTGGAAGTCGACGGGTATCCGCACAGTCGAATCTGGACAGGAAACGCCTCCAGAGCTGGTTTGTGGCTGGGTGTTGCTGGACGCGACGTCAGCCTGTTTGGGCTGTAGTTTCTCAGGGTAATGCTTTGCGCAGTTGCCCCGCGTGTTGACAAGCTGCAACCGCTTCATCTCTTTCTCATCAATAGCACCATCCCTGTAGGCCGCCTTGATGCATTGGGAAAAATTACCACGGATCCTTTGGTAGTCTTGGCTTGACTGGAGCAGCTGTTTTAGCTTCTCGTGCTCATCGCACTGTTCACGCAGAGCCTCGATTTGCAGGTGCTTGTCTACTCCATCGACACATGCTGCAGCTGCATCCTCCTTGGTCGATTCCGTGGTTGCAGCACGAGCAGCTGGAGGATCAACACTACTTCTGGCGGCCTCCGGAGTCATGTCGATCGGATGAAGCTGCTCTACGGCCACCTGTGCCGCAAACTGTTCGGCATCGATTTTACGGCGCCCCGAACAGCGCGATTCTGCTTCCCAAGCCCCGACAGTGACAGTGGAAACAAAGCCGCCATCTTTGGAGGGCACGGTTTTGTAGCAAGGCAGTGTGCCTAACGCTTGCATTGCTTGCTGCAAACGTCCCTTCCAATCCCCGCTTGGCGACTCCTGAGGAATAAGCTTCGGATGTGAGCGAACATGCCGCAGGGCCACTTCTGCTGCGCTCTGCTGCGCGGCCGCTTTGGTCGAGCACAGCTCCCCTGCACGAGGCTCCTGCCGTCCAATTCGAGCTGTGGCGCGGAAGCGGCCATTCTCTTCCGAGTTTGCAAAGCTTACAGCATGTTGCCCGAACAACGTAAGCAGCTGGCCCTTTGCATTCTCTACTTCACCCTTCGCAGAAGCTACATCAGGAGTTTGGCCTGATGAGGGTCTTGCGTCAGAAGCATTTGCCTCCCGATACTGCCGCACTGCATAACTCGGAGTCTCTTTCTGAGTGCTTCTCCAGCGTGGTTTGCCTGAGCTGCTGTCCTTCGTGATTTTCCCTTGTTTCTCAAGCTCGTACAAATGTGGGTTAACATCGCGCTTGCGACCAGCTCCATCATGTCCTCGGGCAAAAAAATCCCGGATCTCGACGGTCTCGGCCCATCCACCTTTCTCGCACAGGAACTCGAAAATCTCGGATTGCACATCCATGAGCTCGTTGTGTTGTCGGCTGGATTCGGCTTCTGCTGAGACCAAAAGGCGAGCCACTCTACAGCAAAGATGCAAAGTGCGTATCCAAGCTGATCTATGTATCATCATGTCCATGTTCTCTGCTCACGCGCTACCATACAGATCGCTGGTGACGCTGCCGACGGGAGCACATCATGTGCACCTGTGGACCTTTCCCTGAACCTCAAGCGTGTACTGCAGGAGACAATTCTCGCACTATCTCGCACTTTAATCCTCCTTCCGAACTGGGCATGCTAAACACCTATAAAACAATCTAACAGACCGAAGCTGGGGTTGCAAAATTGTGCGAATGTTGGTCATGCTGGTGTCTGTCCTTCGGCCGAATTCATTGAGGTGGCGCTGTTGTTTGAGCTGCTGGTAGTTTAAACGGTGCGCTTGGAGTTTCAGGACGTGGTGGAATTGTTGATCAGTTGCCACGGCATCGGTGGTGTTCGTGTGTTGATGGCACCGGAGGTGTGGGATAGCGCGGGAGGTAAGATGAGGCAGGCATTTGTCGACGATTGTGGTACGGGAGCACTTGGTGCGTGTGCTGCTGGGTGGAAGTGCTGGTCATCCTTGTGAGTGGTGTTGGGGAGTTTCAAAGGTCTCGAGTCGGTGAAGCGGGTCTGAATGAGGATTTGGGGCTTGGGCTCGGGGGCTTAGACCTTTAGTACGAAGCACCTTCAACGACGGAGGCCGTGATCCTTGAAAGGGTTGCAAATGCAAAAATGCAGCAAAGCGACTCTGTGGACCGCTCTGCCAAGTGCCTTCGAGCTCCTCGTTGTCTGGCGTTCTGCCTCTGAGGCGCCTTCGCCGCACAAGCCACGGATTTTCTCTGTAAATGTGCATGTGCTAGTGTATGTAGGTATGTCCATGCGCTCGAAATCATCCAATTGAGCAGAGTCGGCCTGCGATGTCCAATTCTTTGTAAATTCTGTTGTGAGTCATCCGTTGCTCAAGGGTTACAACCATGGGCTTGGCGGACTCCAGCCGCCATGCCTGGCTGGACGACGGAATGCAAGTTAGGGCCTATGGGTGTGAAAGCTCTGGTTGCAACCCCTCAGGCCCAGGCAAGTGAATCCAATCCTCTGTGATGTTCCGGCAAGAAGCATGTGCACAAGAATCAGTACTCTCTGAAGAACACCGACGTCTTCAAAACGTTCAGCCAAAGAAAACGATTGGCTAGCAAACCCAACATGACATAATCCAACGAAACTTTCTCTGGGATCATGCCTTCACCGCACTCGGCAGCGTGGATTTGGACCAGGAAGAGGAGCAGTTGCTGCGCACGTGTCGAAGCATGGGCCCGCATTCATACCATGCAGTGTCATCTAAGCGCCCAACCAATGGTCGGAGAGGCGCCCCATGTTGCAGTTCCGGAATGCTTTTCCGCACGTTGGGTCACAAGTGGCAGGGCCCGGCTGTCCCTACCAGACTCAGGACAGGCCTGTGGCTTTCAGCTGACATCCGCCTGCTTCGATGGGTGCGGTGCCATCTGTCCATGGTCTTAAGGTCTTGCCTATCCTCTGTTTTCTCCGGCACGAAGATGGCAGCCAGGACATCGAACATTGAGCTCATGCTTCGCCCAATGAGACGACAGCACGTTCGGGCATCCAAGGACGACGCCTTCAGCTCCTTGCCAGTGATGGCCTTGCTGTTCATGGCAGAAGCCACCGCTTTCATTTGTGCACAACGGCACATGCGGAATCAACAAAGCCGTGAAGTTGAAAGCCAGCTCTTGCTTGGCATTCAGGATCAGGTCCGCGACGAAGCCTGTCACCATGTGCCCCCACCGGGCACAACTCAGTGCGTTTATGATTTTGACATCAGTGAGACAATGTGCCACACACGAGAGCTGTCCGCCATCACCAAGGCTGCTTCGAGCAGATTCCAATCCAATAGCCGACGCTTCTCCTGTGTAGGTTCTGCTACTCCTGAGAAATTCGTTCTTCCTTGCATCACGTTCTCGGATTGCTGGAATGGGCCAGGCTACGCGCTCTGGCGCGACCCCCTCATTCGTGGGTTGCTCTAAATGCATACGCAAGATTTGATTTGTACCGTGGCCTCTGAAGGACTTCCCTATTTGGGCTGTGCGTGTCACGTTCTGCATATCTTGAGGTCGGAGCATGCTGCTGTTGTCGGCTTACTCCTCAAGCATGAAGCAGGCACCACTGCACCACATCCTTTGGTCGTCCCAAACTTTGAAAGAGGCTCCCGACAGAGTACAGGCCTGCTGGGAATGTACACAACATCATCGAAACAAACTTGCACACAATCCTGTACCCAATAAATCCTCCTCAACCTTCCAAACCACGACAAACCACAGCCACCAAAAGTCAAGCGCATATCTCGTTCTTTTTCTGAGTCATCGTGAGGTGCGCCCTCGACGTCTCCTCTTGTCTGCCACGGCTTCCTCCGTCTCAGAGAAGCCAGACTGCGAGACTGCGACTTGGAAAGTTCGCATGGCTCTCTTTCGACTCAAACCTCCGATCCAAACCGGTTTGAAACTTACTACGAGTCGTGCGAACATCCAACACTGTACACGAGCGAGCTGTCAATTTGGACTTGCACTTATCCGCTGGTCGCACCTGCGACTCGTCCGCATGCAGAACCTGGGTTTGGAAGTCATCGCAGCAGTGCTTCTGAAAGGCTGTCGAGGACAGCCATGTGTCTGGGCTTTCACCTGCATGACCGCTTTTACGTCAAGAGTCCAGATCGGCCTTACGGCTGTCTGAGAAGTCCCACCGGCAGCATACCTCGTATGAGGACATCTCAGCTTTTCCACAGGAGACGACTCGGAGCCCTTTTGACACCCCAAGTCGGCCTGATGTCGGTCTCGGCTTGGTGGTCTCCTCATTCTGGTCAGGAAGACTGCGCAAAGCTTCTTCCAAAGCCTGAGATGCGGGGTGGATCCGAGAACGTCATGACAGCAAAGACCTGGCGGCTCAGCAAGGCATTCCGATTCCTGGGACCCTGTCGGGTCTCCGAACAGAAAATCAACCTCGGTGGTCCTGACACATATTCTGTTTTTGGAGTGTTCCGAGCGAAGCAGGGCATGACAGAGCTGATCAAATCCCGGGCCGGAGCTATTGTTTGTTGCATGCCTGTCACACGAAGTCAGCATTCCAGCGCAAATCCCTGCCTCGCTTGTTCATGAAAGTGCTGCTATCTCGAGTTGTTCACTGTGGGTGCATGCCATTTACCTGTTCGTCGTTGTTTGCCATGCAAAGCTGGCTTTGCAAAGTTTTTGTCTCCAGGATTTTGGGCAGAAACCGCGTGGCGATTCGTCCTTCACTTGCCTGCACTTTTCAATTTCGTAGCGCTGCACGGAGACCTCAAAAGAAACAGTCGTGCCGGGCAGCAGCTAGAATCATCTCATGGGTCTTCACCTTGAGAATCTTCCTGATACCACCAAGCAGGCGGTGTCGGACGAGTATCTCTCGCGGAGCAGCCTCCGAATGCCAGGAAAGTGTTGTGGCCAAACCACGACTCTCACCTGCTCTTGCACAGGCTTGGGCAGCCGGGCAGCCTTCATGAGGTGTTCCACGATGCATCGTTTGGGCAATACTCTGGCTTCCTGGACTGAGGTGCGGCGGCTGTTGGGGGACGGACCTTGCACGGGCTTCCGGGGAGGATAGTTTTGCTCCTATCAAAATTCCAGACCCGTGGGATCTCAGCATATGGTCTGTAACTGTAAACACCCTGCAGCCGTAAAACGCTTTACAAATCCTGCGGGGCATTCCAGAAAGATCCTTCCCAATCGGGTGCCTTGGAACATGTTCCGTGACTGCGCGTTGCAGCCTTTGCATCGGTAGCACTATCCTCCGCTACCCTCGGCAGCTTGCTGTTGTCCAAGCTACAGTCGCGCAATCCGTTGCTAACGGAGGCCTTCAAAGCTTTTGTTGGTTTCATTGCTTCCCCTGAGCCTGGGCCCTGGGCGCCTCCAGGGACATCAGCTCTGCATCTGGTTCAGCAGGACCCGGCTTGCCACAATCCCAGCAACCAAGCGGAAGCTCCACATCATACTTGAAATCCATGTGCCTGCAGCCATCGATGGACTTGCTTTCTGATCATGTCGCCCAAAACTGCCTGAACTGCTATGCTACTACTTAGCGAAATGACTGGCATCAAAACATTTTTTCTACTGCAGTGCGCCACCATCGGCACTGAATTGCATTAGCCACAAAGGTTGACCGAACAAACAGACGGCTGGACACCTTACTACACTCAACAGCTGCGAGCAACTCATGCAAATGTGGGTCGTCTTGGATGCAATCCAGAACAGTCACGGCTCCTTGGACAAGGCATCCGTCCTGCAGTTCGATGGCTGCATGTCTACACTCTTACCCCCCCCACAAGGTCGAACGGTCCAAGACGGACCATCCACGAGAACATGTGCTATAGTGACGAGTGAAACAAAGCCAACAGATTCAACAGCTTCGCGAGACCGTGTCGATCAATCCTTTCGCCTCTGCATGCCCCAAGCCGTGGATGCAACAAGGCAGCCCTCATGAGCAAAACTTCACCTTGCAGTGCGATTCCGGAGGCTGAATATCTTTTTGCTTATGGCTGGCCTTGCTTGCAAGTAGAACAACAACTCGCTCTTGGATACCTGCCAGGGCTGGGTCTGCTCCACAACCTGCTTCTGCTTAACGCAGCTGCCAGTGGAACACGTCGACCCGATGAAGGACTGCACCATGTACTACATCGTAAAGGCTGTCAAGCAGACGGAGTGAAGCAATCGGATTATTTCCCTTGCAAAGCGTTCCCTTGCTAAGCCGTTTCTGAAAGTTTGGCGTATCGGCCCGCCGTTGCTGCAGACGAGCATCTGCACATATGGGTCCAGCTTTCAATATTCTAGATTGCACTGGGAAAATTCATACAGTGTGGCACTGGACTCTCCTTAATTCACGTCTTCTCCGCTGCCCTGTTACAAATTCCCGCACGTCTGCATCAACCAAGGGCGGCTGTTTGCCAGAGAGCTGGTTGCTGTCTGCTTTGGAGACAACATTTCACAACACCAGTTGCTTTCATTTGACCTAGTCCTGACAAGGCAGTATCGGTGGATGAAAGACATAGGGCTCCCTTGTGGCAGTGGCTTGGCCTAAATATAATATGGACTCCACAGATCATGGTTGCAGCACACTCTGGCCAGACTTTTCGGTTTTCCTGGGGATGTGCCTGCAGGAACGGTTCGCGGCGGAGGTCTGTAGGAACATGACTACAGACGCTCGTCTCGCGGCGCAGGACGGCTGTGGTTTTGGAAAGTAGCCTTATGCGAACCGACGGAGACAAGTATCGGGAGGATGCCACACTCAACAGCGGCACACACTGCCGTACTTTTGTCAGACGCTGAGGGCGAGCAAACATCGAAAGACGAGAGCTCGAAGTATATTCACTCGCGGCAGAACGGGAATCACAAGAAGCCTACACTAAGAGTGCACCAGTCTTGTAAGGGTGTCGGAAGCAGACTGCAGCACGCGGCAGCGCACGGCAACCAACGCAACCAGCCTGGAGCTGGGGGAAATCAACTGGTGGACTCATTCGCTCGCGAGTGCTAAAATCTCGGGCTTGCCGGGGCAATTGAAACACAAAGCAAAGCTCAGAATGTCAGGAGCCAGGTAGATTGCTGCAGAAATACAGTCTTGAGTAGATATCCTGGGTAGAGGGCAGTCCGGCAGGATTCATTTTCGGACGACAGGTCGGGCGTTGGATAATCGAGGGACCTGAGAAATCAGAACAAGATTCTTGATGTAGATTAACACATACTCTAATCACAGAAGGCAACCTGGTTGTTCAGACATTTCAGACCCAGTACAAGTTCCGTTTAAGTAAGGGCCTAGGAATTGTTTTCGTGAAGATCAAGGCAGTGCACGATGACGCTGGCACGATCAAAGGAAGGTGAGAAGGAAGCAGTGGAGCAACTGAGTGTTCGAGGAGTCCGGATTCCGAAAGGATTTCTCGCAGATGCTGTAAACCAACCGCCCGCATCAGCTGCAGCATCATGGCTAAACCAGCGCCGCACAGACCCCCTTCAGAGAAGCTTTCGTGAACATGTCCAGCAAATCCCAACAAACACATCAATTCTGAACTAAGCTCTGCTCAGCGGCTCCCCTGGCATCAACTCATGAGGTCGTGTCACGTCGCCTGGATTTCGCCGGCTGATGCTGATGCGACAGCCCGTTATTCTCTTCATCTCGCGCGTGTTGCTCCCATCGCGGCCGATGATTTTGCCGGCGGCTGAGTTTGGGACGACGAGCTTGAAGACCTAGGTGAAGCCCTGAACTGCACTCCTGCCGTGACGGACTCCGTGGCCCCGGAGTTGACTCTGCATGACTCCGCTGTTTTCTCTCTCTCTCATCGCATTCAAAGGTGCTGGTTAACAGAACCACAGTACTGGCACTAGTCAACATGCAGACATAGAGTTTGCACAGATGGCCAGGGCAAAACGAAACTGCAGTACCGACAAGTTTGATAAACGAAGGTACCGGCAAATCTGATCTGCCTATGTTATGTCTGTTGACGAGTGGCGAAATGATGGTTCTGTTGCGCTTGCCCAGGTTGCTGGCTCATTCTCCACATTTCCCTGACGATGGCTTCCACTCCACTGACAAAGCCTCGAGGTACACCAGTCAACATGCAGGCAACACAATGACCTAATTACACCTGACACCAGCGCCCAGCACCACTTGTGACATTACGACTGGCAGCAGTCCGTCCCTGTGTAGATAGATTGCCACACAAGGCCTGCTGCTGTCCTCCAAAACGTCTGGCTGAGCCCAGCGCTCCGTCTTGTTGCCGCGAAGATGGTAAGCATGCGGTCTTGAGTGCCTGGCGAGAATGGACGATTCTAATCTGTCGGAAATAATCGGAAATAGCAAAACAAGCTTCACGCAAACGACTGGTTAGTCAAAATCTACGAGGGTGCAGTCCACTTTTTGGTCGAAGCGCGAACTTCGCCCGGCCCGGCACACCGCCCCAGAAACCGATGCCGTTGCGCATTTCTGCCTCCGCCCCGGGTCACATCCAGTGTAAATTAAAGACGATTCAAAAATTGCCGAGGGCGGGAAATCGAAGGAGCGGTCGAGCCGAAATGCTGTTCGGCCGACCGCTGAAGCTTGTTCCTACACGCACGTGCGTTACATGCAGTTCTGCCGATGGCCGAAGCTTGTCCGTACACGCACAAGTAATTACGCTACACCAAAAACGAAAAGTGAGCGCTCAACGCTGTTGTTGCGAGATGCATGATCCACCAAACCTGTAGCCTCAAGCCTCAGCCCCCCACCGCCAACAGCAGGCTGTGTCCTCACTTCCATGTTGGAGCCCTGCTGGGACAGGCCAGTTGAGCGGATGCACGTCAGGGCACTGAAATCACAGTAAGAAGAAAAATTGGGAAGGACGAGTGACAGAAGCTGAGATCTGAGAAGTTCTGGCAGCTTTGCACGGAGCTCAGACCAGAACCACAGCAATCAGAGCGTTCACACGGAGGCTCCGGCATCTCGGACGGCCTTCCTTCCAAGCTGTGCATCTGTGGATCCATGCATGCATCGACAGTGCGACGCATGTACCGGTACTTGAGGCAACTCTTGGAGAGTCCGGATAGGTCTTGCAGAATCTTGTCTTGGAACACTTGAAGCCGTTGCTTTTTCTCGGATCCAACATGCCGTATCAGGAACTGCCTGATCACGGACATGACCGGTAAGTATCACGGTATTCTCTCAGCACCTGTCCGACCGACAATCCAGGATTGACTTCATCAGAACAAACAAGCAGCGAGAAAAGTCCAGCGTGCGTGACTCTTGGGCCCAAAACCGTGCATAAGCCGATGAGCCAATCAGCCGATTAGCCAATCAACCCTAAATTAAACCCTAAACCCCTAAACTTAAACCCTAAACCCGACCACCCGATCAGCTGACCGGTTGATCGGCTGATGCGCAGTTTGGAAACCCACTTTGCGAGCACAGTGGAAAAGTCCACCTTGAGACGTCCTGATCAAATGTGGCACGAAGCCCAGCTGCGCCTGGAAAGAAAACGTCGACGCCAGACATGCTCATGCTCGTCTGAGTCTGCCTTGACGGGCAAAAACTTCCGAATTTCCGCGGTGTGATATGCTCGGTTTGGCTGGCATTGTTGCGCACTGAGGATCGAGCTTCTCTATCTGTGTCATGTTCTTTCCGCGCTTGCCGATCATTCCTCCTCTCCACAGCAGGGTTTTTCTGATTCTTCCAAGAACGTATGTTCCGGTACCAGTGTGCAAGGAGCCTGCGTAGTATGCAGGAACCTGCCGTGCTGTGCCGACCAGCTTCGAAATGTTGCATAAGCAAGCTGAGAGGAAAGCGCGACACTGTAAGTGCGTTCCAGGCACAAGGAGCTTGCAGCAGAAGTCCTCAACTGATGGTCAAGCTTCTCAACCAAGGCTAAATCCCTCTTCATTCCTCTGGGGCGATGACTGTGGCGGAAGCGGCAGGGGTCATAGTAGCATCGGGTGCGCCTAGCGGTCCTTCCACACATCCGGCAGGCACCTCAGGATGCGAGATTTCGGAACTAGTATTTCTCCGTCTCCACTTCCGTGTGAGAAGAGCCTCGTCCAGCCCGAGGATGTGCGAGTCCCGATTAGTTGTAATCACGATGTCAACAAACAGCTCCTGAAGCAGGTCTTGGTGCTCGTGCAGCCAATCTGCATAAGCTTCGCACAATCGCAACGGGCCGAAACGAGCTGCTCTCAGCGAATCCTGCTCGGCCTCATCCAGGGAAGCTTGTGAGTGAATCTCGTCCTGCGCAAGGGCTTTGAAAACTTCCCAGTACGCTATAGTACGCTTAACATGACGAAAGAGCAGGCACAAGATGGCATTCATTCCAAGTCGCAATCAGTACGGCGACAATCAGCATTTTCCGGTAACGCATGGGGAGGACAACAAGCCCGAGACCCTGGATAATCTTTTGGATGGTACCCTGGTGCGGCTTTCACAAAGGCCTCCCACGTGCGTCTTCACATTGCGCCTAATCAGTCAACACGTGATAGACTTCCAAGTAGACGACGTCACACTGAACGGACCAGAACGGGTGCTGATGATACAAGTCCGTCACGGTGTTCTTCATGTCCAGCAGTCAACCCATGCGTACCCTCGAAGCATATGACACTCTCCTGCTCTAGCTCGGAATGGCTCCCCGATTCCTGCAACATCGGGAAAATGGCTTAAAGAGCAGTCTTGCAATCCTTCCGCCACAATCTTATAGCTGCGAAATGCCTTCGCCGAAGTTGCCACGCCTCGAGAATCTCTGATTCGACTTCAACTTCAAACGCCATTGCGTTAAGATGGGGGGGCTGCTCCATGAACGGACTGCCACACAGAAGTGGTTCCACACAAGCTAGCAATTTCTACTGTGGTTTTAACTTCTGTGGAAGACTTCTACAGAGTCGACTGGCCCTCCATGTCAGTCTCCTTCTCTTACCGAACCTGTATAAGGGCCGGTGCTCATGAATAAATTGATAGAAGTTGGGAAAGTTCTGTGCAGCAGGCAGCCCCATTCACAGGGTCTCTAAAGCCGCAGGTTCTTGAAGGTTTCCTTCAAAAACCCACGGAAACCAAAACTTGAGTCGAACCAAGGAGCTGCAACGACCAATGCTTCTTGAAGGGCAAGCCTGACAAGCATCATAGTCTGTTTCTTGCACCTCATGTTCAATGAAGTGCTGACCGATCACGGGTGTGCATGGATTCTGAAAGATAAAAAGACTAGTCGGGCCCTTCCCAAACGTTGCCTCCGAAGCCTGAACCCTGCAGAAGCCTGCTGTTGCTTTTCTGAGACCTGGCACGTGCTGGTGCACGAGCACACCTTTTCTCCAGCGGCGATACCATGACACGCCCAAAGGCTCAGAGTTCTGGGCATAGCTCGCCTGTCCAAGCCATCTAAAATCTAAAACATGTGCATCCGTCACAGTTGCCAAGACCGGGGTGGGCCAATCCCGATTCCAACAGCCCCCATTGCAGTGTGCGCCAAAGGGTCATTAGAGAAGTTTATGCTGATTGATACCTTGCTTTGACAACTCCAGAAACCCCTGAATCAAACTAGCATATTTACGCCGTACGTGACAATGACATACTTTTACCCGCATTCTACTCGTGCACGGTGAACGAATTCCGCAAGTCGGGTGCCTCGATAACGTCAAGTGCGCGTCGGATCGAGGTGAAATCTGAAACTGGACACCGCATCAGTTCGAGCTTCAACTCCTGTCAGAAGCAAGGGCCTCAAGCGGATCCAGAAATCCGACAAAGCATAGCCCATCCCCATCCTCCTGCTTGGAGAGAGGCAGCCCCGCCGCCTGAGACAGAAGCTGTGCGCGCACGTCGGCACCCGACCCGGCCGTTGGCGCCTCCTTGCGACGTGCTGTCGCCTGACATGTTCAGCACTTTGCGGGAACCGTCTGACCTTCCATGCTCTTAACAAAATATGGGGAATCAGTGTGCGGTGTGGCATTGACCTGCTGAGTCACCTCTGCTCTCGGTTGGTCGCCCTGCCTGGTCAGCCCCAATCAGCCGATGCAGGATCTTGAAAAGGTGTGACCTTCAAAAGCTTCCAACATCAGGCCGTACATGTCTAAACGAATTGTACCAACCCTGGCTAGCGTTCGGACTTAGTAGGAGGGTACCTGCCAAAGACTCAATCGCATTTTCTCCTGACCTAATCTTCCAGCATGGGTCGTACTTCAATGGGCAGTTGAAGGTCTCTGCCAATTCGAGGAACTCTCGCCCAAGTCCTTGCTTGCACTTGCAAGTTTCTTGCTCAGTGTCGAGTTTCCATTGCCCAGCTTTCACTTTCTAAAACTCTGGGGTCAGCGCAAAATGGGCATCTGGGATCTCTACACAGGGGTACTGAGGAATGCACGCAGCATCCTGGCAACGTCGGCGTTCCGATCCTGTTCTAATCGCTGACTTACGTACAGTATCCCCACTTGCCTCAGCATAGGACCGTGTTCTACTAAAACTCTGTTCCATGTCGCAACGCAGCCAAGCACTTGTCAGCAATGCCGCTGTGAGAGCAGCTTCGATTGAATTGCAACACGAAGGATGCTTTAAAACTTCCGCAATGTCGACATTGTTTGGACCAAGTGGAAGCGGGAGTAGCTTTCATGCGATCGAGTACATCATGAACACACGTCGTTACGGGTCTTGGAACGAAAACAGCACGGAGAGTGCATGTGTCACACTGATGATCGCTGCTGCTGCTCGCCACCCGCAACGACGAGCCTTGCCTGCACAGTCTCTGCAGAGTCGTCGAAAAGTGCAGGATCCTGGCAACATCCGGAAAACCAAGATTGCATGTCGTGTCGCGTAGCAATTGCAATGGGCCTGTCACCAATATCGAAGTGCTGCGTTTGCATTTTCGGTGCATGCGTGTCAACTGCTATCAGTGGTATCTCCAATACCACTATCAAGGACATCACAATCCGCACAATCGTCTGCGTCCATCTGCCGCAGGTCCACGAGCACCAGCACTAAATGCGCAACTATCGCCATACCGCCACCGTGACCTCGACAATCCGTGGTGGTAGTAGCGATAGTAGCAGTGATAGCAGTAGTAGTAGTAGTAGTAGTAGTAGTAGTAGTCGTAGTAGTAGTGGTAGTGGTAGTAGTAGTAGTAGTAGGAGTAGGAGTAGTAGTCATAGTAGTAGTAGTAGTAATAGTAGTAGTAGTAGTAGTAGTAGTAGTAGTAGTAGTAGTAGGTCGCATGCTGTTGCTGTTGTCGTAGCAATAGCAGCAGCACCGGTCAGGAGTGGAAGTAGGAGTGGTGGTGGTGGTGGTGATAGTAATAGTAATAGCAGTGGCAGTAGCAGCTTCAGCTTCAACGCAACGGAGAGTCCAAGTCCACCTAGCGACAGAAAGAATGCAATCAAGCCGTAGGCCCGGGCAGCTCTTAGCCGCGCAACTCATATGGTTGCTTCAGATCCCGGCTATCCAACACCGTCCCGTAAGACCTGAAGCATGTCGGATAGGAAAGCAATGGTGAACGGAGCTATCGTCAAGATCGATGATTGTGGGAGTGCTGGTCCTCATATACAAAAGCAGGTAGCAGATGTTGTAGCACCATGATGGAATTGCGTCGCATTGACGCGGGCCCCTATTGTCATCACAGCTCCAAGTGCCCCTCACCGAATGTAGAAGTGCCTGATGGTGCCCGGCTTTGGGATTGTTGCCGTGGTGGCACACAGCAGCAATACGTTCATAGCAAATGGGCCGCACCTGGAAGTTGGCATCCGTGAAAAGTGGAATCCAAATGAACTCGTCGACATCCACCGGGTGATGTAATTTAGTGCTTCTTCCATCACTGACATGAAATCTTCCAAGTTGTGCACTAGCTCCTATATCCCGCCACCATCCCCAGAACTCCTCCAGGACGATAGTAGCATCGAGTAATTAGCTTGCGAGCTAGCCGAGCGACAACCGAACAGGACAAACACACTCAGCTAGCACGGACGCACTTTTGTCGGAAGTGGCAACTATCCCAGGTTGCCTGGAGATATCGATAGCCTTCGGCTATCTATCCCCACGCATCGCCACTCAGGCTACCAGGGATCTAGCTTCCGGGCCTTGCGGCTAAACTTCGACACCCTATCCGGGGTCCCTCGCTTTCGCGTGCCTAGCTCCTTGTAGAAGCTATCTGCATGCGCGAGTAGCCGGCCCAAAACTCGCCACCGGAATTCCTCCCCCTTCGGTTCTAACCTCTGGCCGGGATCGAATTCCTTGAACTCCTCGTTGGTGAGGTCGTCCGCTGGCTGGTTGATGTCCCTCCGTATCCACTGGAGCTGTAGCTCACAGTTCTTCTGGGCTAGCTCTTCGGCGGCCACCTCCATTAAAACTAGCATCGAGGGGATACTTGGTTGTCATAGCCTTCTTCACAAGAGCCTCATTGGACTTGTTATCCGTGTATCCACGGATGGCAACTCGCGAGGTTTTCCTATCCTCGCCCTCCGGGACCCAGAGACGTATCCCGACGAGGGTCGCTAGCAGTTCTAGCGCAGCTATCACTTTCTTGGGATCTCCTTTCGAGAATGCCCAAGGAGCCCAGGCCCTATCCACCTCGAGGGAAAACCAGGGACCCGGCTTCTCTTCGAATGTCTCCAAAAAGCCCCCTATCCAGGCCCGATCGGACTCAGCCTTAGCGTCTGTGAAAAAGCTCAGTGGAGGTAGCCCGGCGTACAGGGTCACAGGGCGCTGTAGTCTCTCCCCCTGGTCGAGCTTGTCCGCTAGCCACCTCATATGAGGACACGTAGCATCGTCGGGATGATGAGGTATCCTGTCTTTTCCTGGATAGCCGAACCCAGGAAGGGCCTTTGCCAGTCCAGGGCAATAATTGCCGCGAAGCCCAGTCTCCCGAGCGCCTGTTGCATCTCCTTGGCCGTGACCTTGCCCGAGGCTACCTTGTCGTTTAGCCAGGTGGATAGCCAGGTCGCCCGCTTCTTCGACATTCCTAGCCTGTGGGAGGAGTACTCCGTCTCCATCCCCAGCCACTCCACCCTTTAGCCACCACGAGTTTTCGCCCTATCCCAGGACCGAGAGGAGAAGGTAACTCAGGGGAATCACCCCTCAGTCCCCATCATCGGCATAAAGCAGGAGGTCGATGGGGTATCCGGGTTTAACAGGTGATGGGTAGCCCGTAGCCCACATGCGGCTATCCTAGTCCACCAGTAGCTAGCCGGGGATAGCGAAGGTGCCCACGTTGTTGACGTAGACGATCTGGCTATCCGGGTCCCCCGGGACCGTCTCCTCGGTGTCAATCTGGCAGCCCATGTAGCAATGCTCGCTCGCCTGGTGCTTGTATCTACGATGTGCCTTCGAGATATCCCCCACCACAGAAAAGGCAATCTCGCCACAGCGGATCAGCTCGCGGAGGATCTGCTTCTTCTCCCTAGCCCCAAGTGCTCGGATCTTATCCCGACACCGTATCCGATGATTCACCCTAACGCCATGGGTCGCGTCGTGAATTATCCTCTTCTTATCCTTCTCCTCGTCCTCGACTATCACCGCCAACGAGGCAATAGCCCGGTGCTCGCCAAACCTCTCCTTGAACTCACGGAGGGTCATCTTCTCCACGAGGCCCTCCTCCACGTCCTCGTCAAATTTAGCCCGGACGAAGTCTCGGTGGTCGCCCACGGAGGAGTATAGTTCGGAACCCAGGCTAGCGCGGGCTCCCAAGCAGCGTTGTCTAGCCGCCATGAGGTCTGCTCCTCGAACACATGCGGAGTCCTCGGTAGCCCTTCCAGTATCCCCAAAGGCAGGCCTTCCTCGGCGCTGCCTCGAGGATCGCCCTCAGCAGCCTTAGCCGTGGAGGCTGCCCAGGTGGAACTTCTTCTAGCAGGTTGGGCTCGCTGAGCCTTCTATCCAGGTCTGGAGACGTTGTATGTAGCCGGCTATCCCGGACCAGTTTGCATCCAGAATAGCCATTCGGAACCCGCTCTCCGGACCACAATCTCCCGAATCCTTCCAGGATGCCCAAATTCTTTTACCGTCTTTCTGGTGGCATCGCCGCGGAGGTCCCTGGCCGCCTTGTAGCCGCGGTCCCTCTGGTTGGTTGGTGACGTAGCCAAGCTCCTCCTCTGCAGAGCCCGCGAGTCGTAGCAGTTGCCGTGCAGGTAGCCAGCGCTAGCCGTGCTAGCCAGTGTGAGAGGTCTGAGGGCCACTCACCGAGGGTAGTAGTAGCCAGCATGCGATGCGTGGTAGTAGCCGAAGCGTAGACGGTATCCGGCATATCCATGCAGGTCGGCTTTGCAGAACTCGCCCCAAAGCTATCCAGATGCAGACTGACGGATCGGAGCTGCTCGGGCCACTGCCACATTGTAGCCGGTCGCTGGCCCTTGCGGGGCCCAGCGGGCATAGCCCCCAGCCTTCCGGCTGCTCCAGCACGAAGAAGGTCGCCGAAGCAAGTGCAGCACTAGCCATTTCAAAACAGAAATCAGCAAAAATGTTACCAAGAACAGCCCTGTCTCTTTCTTTCGCCGTGAGCTTATCCAATCCACGCGGCTCGCTGAAACTGCGGACTGGCCTGGGACCCTCGTGGTTAGCCCAGGTAGCCCTTGAAAAGGTAGCCACCGGCGGTGACATAGCCACGATGTCGCAGCTGCCAGATTGCACGAGGGTCAGGTACTTGGATCTCGCCTTGGGTGTAGCCAAGTCGGTTCGGGGCTTTCTGGCCAGGTCCACACAACAGATATCCACGTCACAGCCAAAGGTGGAAGCTAGCCGTCGTAGATGGGACTGGAAACTCCCGTGTCTATCCCTTCCCGAGAAGAGGTAGAGTGCTTGTAGCCGACGGGTTGGAGTAGCCGGAGGGGGCACAGCGGCAGCCCGCCGGCGCAGGAAGTCAGTTAGCCGCCGCGGAAGATGTAGCCGCCCCGGGGCAGTTGATCGCCGAGTGCTCGCCCCGACACTTCGTACAGACATGAACGAAGTGACACTTAGCCCCTTTCTTACAACCACCCTTGAGGTTGAACCGAAAACAAATCGGCTTATTATCCTCAGTGCGGTTGAAGGTGCCGGCCTTAGCCTTCTTGTTGCTATCCTTGCCGTCCTTGCCCTTGCTCTTGCCTTTCTTGCCAGGCCTATCCGGCTGGGTGTTGCCCACGGCTGAGGTCTCTTGGCGCAGAGCGATAGCGGGGTCGTGAAGTGCCTTTCTTTGGTAGCCGCGTCTTTCCAGGACTGGACTAGCGCGTCGGCGAAGCCTATCCCCTTCAGGACCATCTGCTATAGGCCTGCTTTCTGATAGCGTTTTCGTAGGATAGCACCAGCGTCCATGGAGGCGCCAAGGAGCCGCTAGCCTCATTGGAACGTAGCCCATAGCAGAAATCTCCTAGCAGATAGTCTTTGTATTTTTCAAAAAGCTGGAATCTGGACGTCAATATCCTTGAGCTCCGATCTCCCCGGGTGCTGGGAGCCTATCATGAGAAGGGCATTCTGCATCACCGTTAGCCGGAGTCGTAGCTGTTCCGGGCCTGATGGCATAGCCCCTTTCGAGGTAGCCTTCTTGAGCACGAGCGCGGTGCCTTTGCTATCCCACTGGGGAACTAGCTGGGCCGATAGCCTATCCAAGTTGATGTTAGCCGCTGCGCCCTGCTGCAAGGCGGTTTTTTCGGTGCTATCCTGCCGTGCGGTCGGCCTCCGGGTGGAAAGATCCTTGCGCCGCCCCTTGGAGTCGCTTTGCGAACTCGCAGGAACGGCTCGTAGCCCGATCTCCCGGACGCCGCCGCGGCGGTCTATCCGGCTCGTCAGGGTCTAGCTCCTGAAAGGTTCCTATCCG